AAAGTGGGGGAAAAATGGGATAAAATTGGGATAAAATTGGGATAAAAGTGGGGGAAAATTGGGATAAAATTGGGGGAAATTGTGATAAAAGTGGGGAAAAATTGGGATAAAAATTGGGATAAAATTGGGATAAAATTGGGATAAAAGTGGGGGAAATTGGGATAAAAAGTGGGAGAAAATTGGGATAAAAATATGGGGAAATTTGGGATAAAATTTGGATAAAATTGGGATAAAATTGGGATAAAAGTGAGATAAAAGTGGGATAAAATTGGGGGAAAATTGGGATAAAATTGGGATAAAAGTGGGATAAAAGTGGGGGAAAATTGGGATAAAAGTGGGATAAAGTTGGGATAAAAATTGGGATAAATGTGGGGGAAAATTTGGATAAAATTGGGGGAAAATTGGGATAAATGTGGGGGAAAATTGGGATAAAAATTGGGATAAAATTGGGATAAAAGTGAGATAAAAGTGGGATAAAATTGGGGGAAAATTGGGATAAAATTGGGATAAAAGTGGGATAAAATTGGTGGAAAATTGGGATAAAATTGGGATAAAAGTGGGATAGAAGTGGGGGAAATTGGGATAAAAAGTGGGGGAAAATTGGGATAAAATTGGGATAAAAGTGGGGGAAAAATTGGGATAAAAATTTGGGGAAATTTGGGATAAAATTGGGATAAAATTGGGGGAAAATTGGGATAAAATTGGGATAAAACTGGGATAAAAGTGGGGGAAATTGGGATAAAATTGGGATAAAATTGGGATAAAATTGGGATAAAATTGGGGGAAAATTGGGATAAAATTGGGATCAAATTGGGATAAAAGTGGGGGAAATTGGGATAAAATTGGGGGAAAACTTGGATAAAGTTGGGATAAAAATTGGGATAAAATTGGGGTAAAAATAGGGGGAAAATTGGGATAAAAATTTTGGGCAAATTGGGATAAAAGTGGGGGAAATTGGGATAAAAATTGGGCAAAAATTGGGATAAAATTGGGATAAAATTGGGATAAAAGTTGGGGAAAGCCGTGCCTGTGGAATTTTACGGAATTCCGGAGTTTTGGGGAACTTTGGGGCGTTCCCACCCAGAATTCCCAACGATTTCCCCCACGAATTCCCGAGATTTTCCAAACATTCCCCCCCCCAGAGAATTCCCGCTCCGAATTCCCGACAATTCCTGCCTGAGAATTCCCAAATCCCACCCAGAATTCCCCAAAAATTCCAAACGATTCCCTTCGAAGCGCTGAATTTTATTCCGAACGCCTTCGGGAGGAGCCCAAGGGAGGGGTGGAAATAAAATTCCCAAATCCCGGAAATCCCAGGATTCCACCGAAGCGTCCCCAGGAGCTGAGAAATTCCGGGAATTCCTGGGAATTCTTGGGAATCAGGAGGTCCCCAAGGGGGTCCCAGCCCCTCTTTCCTTCGTGGTGTCACTCTGGGAATTTTTTCCTGTGGAGCAGCCGCATCCCGGGGCTGATCCCGGCTGGAATTCTGGGGCTGATCCCGGCTGGAATTCCTGGATCCGATCCCAGCTGGAATTCCGGGGCTGATCCCGGCTGGAATTCCGGGGCTGATCCCGGTTGGAATTCCTGATCCGATCCCAGCTGGAATTCCTGGATCCGATCCCGGCTGGAATTCCGGGGCTGATCCTGGATCCGATCCCGGCTGGAATTCTGGGGCTGATCCCGGCTGGAATTCCGGGGCTGATCCCGGCTGGAATTCCTGGATCCGATCCCGGCTGGAATTCCTGGGGCTGATCCCGGCTGGAATTCCTGGGGCTGATCCTGGATCCGATCCTGGCTGGAATTCCTGGGCTGATTCTGGATCCAATCCCGGCAAAATTCCCAGGAATCAGCAGGAGGCGGCTGATCCTGGAGCCGATCCCGGATCGGGATTGATCCCGGAGCTGATCCCGGAGCCGATCCCAGGTCTTGACGTCAGCTCCGGAATTCCCAGCATTCCCGTCATTCCCAGCATTCCCGTCATTCCCGTCGTTCCCGTCATTCCCAGAATTCCCATCATTCCCGTCATTCCCGTCATTCCCGTCGTTCCCGTCATTCCCGTCATTCCCGTCGTTCCCGTCGTTCCCGTCATTCCCGTCATTCCCGTCATTCCCGTCGTTCCCGTCGTTCCCATCATTCCCGGAATTCCCGTCATTCCTGGAATTCCCGTTGTTCCCGTCGTTCCCGGCGTTCCGGGCTCAGCAGGAGCTGGCCTGCAGGTTGGCCTCGCTCAGGAGGGAGGCGAAGGCTGCGGATCCGAATT